TTCAATAGAAAACAGTAATATTTCCATTTGGGTCAATGCCAATCGAAGAGGTTTACGAGTTTCTAGTATGGGGAATGGATGACTTCTGCTGAATTTTCTAACCGAATGTTCTCAACAAAAAACAAAAAACTGGGGAGTTGGTGATTTGGTGTCTTGTCATGCACTAATCGTGGTGTGCACACAAAAAGGTAGAGGCAAATTGGAACCTACTTTTCCCAAAGAAAGCAAAATATTGGACTGGTTGAATATGTTGAACAAGTGTTTTTCTTATTTGGGGTTCGATGTTGAATTTGATGGACTTTGGGGGGCACTCTTTTTTAGTTATTGGAGCGAGTTTTGTGTTCAACGCAAACTCTTTACCAACCTTTGATGTCTGTTTTCACTCCCATTTTCTTCTTGCCATGCTCAGCATGATGGTTAGGGTTGAGCAACTCCAAGTCATTTTGAGTGACTTTAGGACTTGCCTCCTTGGACAACTCAAAAATGTGTCTAGAGTTGATTTTGTGCCGTGTTCCAAATTTGAAGAATGAATTACACTTATGCTATGCTAAATATAGCTTCTCTATTGTTTTAACTTCTGCATAGGCCAAAAGCCCAATTTAAGTTGCAATAAAGTCTAATATTATAGGCCCAAACCTCAGGATTGCAAAAGTACTTCAACTTTTGCCTATAACTTTTCAATTCGACCGAAAAAGCTATATTTTAATCGACTAAAAAAAATCTATAGTTTTCATTTGATCGCACTTCTAATTTTAGTCATCAAATTATGCTTTTATTTTTTATTTTCAGAAGTTAACTTCAAACAAATCATTTTTCCGATACTTGCTTTGATAATAATAAGATTAAAACATACTTTTATAATCCTTGCAGGTACGCTCATTTGAAACTTGGTCTATATAAAATAGAAGTATTTTAATCCATATATGTTACTCTTTTTAATTTGATCTCTAACTTGTATTTGTTATAATTCCAACTAATATTGTAAAACTAATAAACAACAATAGCTAAGTATTTAAGGTAAAAATTGCATATTGTAAACAAATAAATCTAAGAGTAATTTAGCAATTGAATTTTGAGTTCTCTTAAGTTCTTTTAAGTATGTTGTGATTAAAATAATTAAATAAACGTTGTAAAGCACAAACATTTCATCTTATGGTAATCGCTAATAACTATTTTGAATCTTGTAATTCTTTTGATATCACTTTGTGAGTTTTATCATGTCTCTTGGATTTAGAATAATTCTCTATTCAACTTCTTTTTTAACCAATTCTAGAGAAAATCTGGGAACTCGTTCAGAATTGTAAACTTAGAATAATTTTCTTGTTCATTTCTATTTTTTGACCAATTTTGAGAAAAATCTAGAATCTCATTCAGTCTTGTGGACTTAAAATATTTTCCTTGTTAGTCTCTATTTTTCGACCAGTTTTGGTTATTTTTAATCCAGGGACTGAAAAATCTTCAGAAACTCCTCGAAAGGCCACTCTATTTTCGACCAAAAATAGGCCTCTTCATATTTTGTCACAACTGCTCGAGATATAGCCTTTTTTATGAGGCTTTCTTCAATTCTCTAAATCTCCTCAGAATGCAACCTTCTGTTTGATAGAGAATGAGGCTTTTATAACCTTCCAAAATGTCTCGAAATGTATCCTTTAACAAAGAATAAGGCTCTTTCGCTAGTCTTTGTAAAAATGAGTCAAAATGTAGTCCCTTCAACAAGTTTTGGAATTAGATTTTTACAGTCTCTTAACTCGTCATGGTGATGAGACCTATGATTTTCTTTGATTTTCAGTCAAAAGCTATGACCGTGTCACTGAACCTCGAGGTGTATTTTTCCTTGAAAGAATGTGGTCTATTTCCTACCACGAAGGTCTAGTAGGGAGCTTTATAATTTAGAAAATTTTTCTTTCTCCAAACAATAAGTAAAAATAATTATACATATAGATATTAAGTTGAAATTTTATACAAAGAATAAATTTAAAATGAGCTCCAAAGGAATAAAAACTATATTTTCATTAATATAATTATAAAATATTTTTTATTTTGTTTGTTTTTAAAAATATTTTAATGTTTAAATTGTTTCATTCATGAGATCTTCAAAACAAGAAGCAAAATTAATTTATATAGTTGTTTAATAGTTATTAGTTAGATAGGTATTAGGAGTCATAAAAAATCGACCAGAATAAAGGTTGAAACACTAATGTTATAATCACAAATCTAGATATAGAGACAAATGACAGACATACTTAGGCTTATGATATCAAAATTATGCTTTAAGATGAGACAAATGATTAAGATGAGATTTATGAAGTTACTCCTTAGAGTGTATGATCGACAAAGTTCTTAATGTCACTAGCAAAGACTTCTATAATTTTTTGGTATTAATATATCTAATGTTTAGTGTATTTGTTGTTGAAGCACTCCTTATAGTGTACAATCAACCAAATCTTTAAAGTCATTTGTAAAGGCATTTACAGTTCTGATCACATTATTGATCTTGTTAATTTTCTTAATCCTTTGTCATTGACCCTTCTAATCATAGAAAGCTTATAATTGTGAAACTGCAGTGAAGACAAGTATTGAGACTAAGAGCAATAGCTAAGTTAAAAAGGAAAATGACAAAGATCATGTCAACAGTCACTCACATGCAACTACCATGATTTATTGTGTTAGATCCAATAACACAATAGATCATGGTAGTTGACCTTGAAACATACATTTATTATGGAAGTTGTAGGCAAATAAGACTTTAGAAATTATTGTAAAGTAGGATAACTTTATACCATAATTGAATAGAGTAAGTTTATTTGTCTCTAATAGCTTTGACTTGAAGACAACCAAGTCTCACAAATGCAAAGAGGATGATCTCTATTGCAGCTCTTCAATGTCAAAGACCAACAAATGATCAAACAAATACTTTAGAAAAAATACAAACAAATTACCTTTATAGTTAAAGTAGTCAAAACATACAACTTTATGTTTATTGTCAAAATTAGCTAATTATGTGTAGTTCTTATCTCATTGTAATTTAATTCACATCTCTTATAATTTATTTTTTAAGTTTATTTAATATAACTTAAATTTTCTCTCTCATCATCTTTTATATTTTTATTGTCATTATTTTTTATTTTGTTCATTAAACTTCTCTAAACTTCATTATTTAAAATTAACTATATCAATTAGCATAAATATCCCTTTTTAAAATTTAGGAGAGTGCATCAATCCAACCCTGAAATGTACTGGATAAGCAAGTATTTTCAAATACAATAATTTTACCTAAACATTAGGTCAACAAAAAATTCCTAATAATAAATAAATAAATAAATAAAATGTCATTAAATGCTTGCAGTTTCTTGTATTTATGTTTCAACTAAATCGTACATATATTTTGAGTGAGGGCTAAACCATGATTTTATTTTTCAAAGGTTGGAGATCACAATCCTATTTATATTTCATGAGACTACATAAATGAAAATACAATTGAATCTTACAACATTTTACCATTGTACCAATCCTTTAGATATTATTAGAACATGTAAATTGAAATTTCTTTCAGTTGCATGATATGATATTTTTACAAAAAAAATGTAATTTTTTTAATAAACAAAGGGACAAAATGCCTAGAATAAAAGTATACAATTATAAATAATACAATAAGCGTCAATCACAAAACCCACCAAAAGAGGAAAGAAAGCCTGGGCCAAACATTTAGATGTTTTGGAGGCATCAGTTAAAGCATAATGTTATATTTTAGACGAAATAATTCTGAACTACTAGATAATATGTAGTTATTTGGTAACAAAATATATTTATAAATACTCCAAAATTTTGACTAGATAAATTTTATGTCAAATAGAAAAATTTCAAATGAGATGTCTTCAGAGAGAATTCAAAAAGTCATATCATGTCTAACTTTGTGTTATCATTCACAACTTTCTTATATTTACTTTTGTTTAAATTATTCTTTATTATTGATCATATATGCAACCACGTAAATTTAACTTTAACTTGCTCCAGTTTTCATATATTTGAAGGGATATTTTATACTTTTTTTAAATGAACGACTAAGGTATATTTACATTTAGTAATACTTTATTTTATTATTATTTCTAATTATCAAACTGGACTGTAAAATAGAACGAGACAACAAAACCTAGTCTGAACTTTCCTCAAAAATTAATATCCTCGTAAAAAATGCCGTCCAATACAGAGTAAGACTGAGAAGAACCAGAGGAAGAGTCCTTCTTCCTTGCCCCATTCATTCGGCAACACAAAGGGAAAATAATGCAGAATGGAATTGTTACATAAACACTTACACACAACGACAAAATAATGTTTTCTGGAGGGGCGAGCAAAAACGACCCTAAAAACAAGATAGTTTACGAAACATAGAGGTTATAGAGAATTGGAAAAAGTTCGGAAATAGGCATCGTCACTGTTGCACACTCTGTTGTTGTCCAAAGCTGCTTTTCAAATACCCTCTATAATGATTTTCCTCAAACGCAATCCATTTATCTCTTTTCACTTATTGGAACTATAAAACCAACTCACCCTGAGTTGAAGAATAACAAGTACTAACTACCAACTACAAACCCTAATTGAAAAATAGAGATGAAGAAAATGATTTGTTGATCAAGAGGAGAGATGATGAAAATCGCCTTTTGACAAATTCGTATAATATTAATTTTTAACTTTTAAATTAAAGGACCATCTAACAATATTAGAAAATACTTTTAAAAATTAATGAGTAAATACCTTTTTTTAAACCTTTAAATATAAATTTAAATTTAATACATTCTTGCTCTCAATAGTCAAGGCCGTAGATTTTACCTGATTATTTTAGTACCATATATATGATATATCCGATCACATTATAGATTTACGTCGTTATTGCACCTCGTTATTAGTTTCAAATTTTAAAACTATAGTGTAACTTAGTGACTTTCTTTGGCGAAATATTATTTAAGGTGGAATTTCTCAAAAAATCAAATCATGTCAATCAAATTAAGAACGGGTAAATGACAATAACTTGGAATGTTGATTCTCTCTCTTCTGAACTACTCTAGTCATAGATTACTGAGAAGATGCATGCTTTTCTCTCTTGTGGTTGAATAGGTTCATGGACTTAAGCCGAAAATGTTAACAGGAGAAAGGACTCTTGTTCAGCTGAACTTTTTGACTAAATCATTATGACTATTTCTACCCTCATATTTTAGGCAACACTGATTCTCCTATAAGATCTCCTATAAAAAGAATGATCAAGACTTCCACGTTGTCCCCAAAAGCATCTTGCTTGAGGAACAAAAATTATAAATGATTTTTGTAACACTTTCTCCAATTGTATATCCCTTTCTGGTTCATAATAATGCTTCTACCGAAAGGAAACCTGTTAACGAAAACGAAACTACATATCAGGAAAGCAATACCGTATGTGGTGCTATCACGTAATACTTGATCATACAAGAAACAATATGCACTTTTGAGTAAAGCCTATAAGTAAAATGCTATATACCGAAACTCTAACTGCAGACGGGCAAGTATGTATTGAAGGCTTGATAGCAAAATAATTATTATAACTCCAGCATCTCGGTAGCCAATTAGTTCCATAATAATGGTGCCATGTTAGATTACTAAACGCTATGCTCCATATTAGAAGGATAGGAAATAGGGTACCTTCTGTTCGGAAATCCCAAGTATGAATGGATTTTAATATTGTGAAGAGCTCAATCATAGGTAGACCGACCTGGGAAGAATTCAAAGTTTTCAATTGAAAGAGATATGGTACATAACACGAGCACAAGCAACGAGTACATAAAAAATGGTAGAGTCATCCTTATATGCCATTCACTAAACATGCAAATCAACGGGACCATACGGCCAAAATTGACTGACCTTTCAGTAGCTTCTCTCCTTAGGGGAGCACAAAATTAACTTCAGCTGGAAGAAACAAGGAACTCAAAATCATTTTTATGAAGCAAGGAAAAGTAGTCAACAATAGAAAGTATAGTCTTACATTTACTATTAACTCAAATACAAAGTGCACCCATGTCAGGTGTCACCGAGTCATATTCACCAAGTACTTCAGCTTTTGCAGAAGTCCCTTTCTTTCCTTGCCTCCTTTCCTTTTTGCCCCTTTTGGAGTCAGCTGCTTGGTTACTGACATAACAGAAGTATTGTTCATTCATACCACATTAAAATCATCTACCGCAGAATTCTAGTTGATTACATTCTTGAAGCACACAAATCATGTCCCACTCATGTGAGCTCCCAGAGGAAAAAAAAAAAATTCTAAACACTGCAGATGTTATCTGAATAGTTGAAAGATGAAACTTAAAAAATTTAAAAAACTATATAAGAGAAAAGAGTCTAAGACACATACACTACAAACTTAGCAGATTGCTTCCCCAAGGTAGATCCGCAACAAGCTTTGTATTTCTTTTTGGAACCACAGGGGCAGACCTTGTTTCTAGGAATCTTCTGCAGTTAAACCCACAAATAAGGGGCAGTTAGAACAACAAACAAAAGTTTGTCAAAGGAGATCAAAATATTAGAACAGCGTGCATGAACAGCATAATTATCTTGGATCCATCCCGCTTCCCCCAAGGGATGAAACACAAATAAACCAAAAATAAAAGGGAAAAACAAAACCTTGCCATCTCTTTGCAATGCAATATTATCATTGATCTTCCTGGAGCTGTCATTTGATTCGTCATTAGTGCTGTCCTCTACCATGTCTTCTTTGTGCTGCTTATGGTCATTGTTTTCATCACGATCTGTACATGCTTGGAATTTGAGACAACAGTTACAAAAGAATAAAAACTGTGTCTTTCCCACTATTATTTTTCTAACCTGTGTAACATTATACATAATAATAACCCATAAAATAGAAAATTGTACCATTTAATAGTATCAGTACATTGAATTGGATTGAATTCTGTCATTTTCAATAAAAACTTACCATATATGTTATTATCATGCGCAATGTTGCATAGGTTAAAGAACCTATTTCTACTAATCAAAATGGCTTATACTAAATGCTAATGAATAAACATAGTTACATGAACATGTATGAATCCTATTAAGACATAATATGCTAGAGAAATTTTAAAAAATAGGCTGAAAACAAGAAAATATGTTACTTTGCCCTCTAACAGACAGAAGTAGTACAAAATACATTTACTAGACATTACCGTAAGTATTAGCCTGACTAGGAAGGGAATCAGATTCTGCAGAGCACTCTTCTGTTCCTTGTTCTGCGATTAGAAATTCTATTGCAGCACCAACATCTCCATTTACCTGCTCTAAAATCTGGAACAACAAAGACATACTTTGAATATATGTCAAGTAGTTAATTTTTGAAAAGACAGCAACCAGCAAGAGATCTCCTGAACTGATATATTAGTCATGCAATACAAAAAGCAAACAGCAGAAACAAGGCATACACTCTTTTCACCTGTTCCACTTTCTCACGGTTTTCACATCCACTTCCAGCCATAATCAACTTTATGGACCCTGGGTGGAAAGTTTCCCTACCCACTTGCCCAGGGGATTTGTTGGTCATAACTTTTGTTTGATGTGATAGCACTGAAAGATCAGCATCAGCCTTTCACAAGCTAGAATTAATCAGGCAATAGCTACAACTCTTAACATGAATCAGAGAGATGGCAAAGAGAGTTAATAAGAACCTTAATTACAATTTTCCTTGCAGGCCCATCGCAAGGATCCTCCTTTAACCGCACACTATTATAATGCTCCCCATCATGATAAGACCTGGAAAAACATAGTGCAAATACAAACCATCAAAATTCATATGCAAGGTCAGGACAATTATTTTGCAATGGTTCCTTAGCTGTTGATATACCTTAAATGTTAATTGCATGCATAATGTATACATAGATTTATGGCACACAGGACAACAATAAAAGTTGTCATCCTTAAAAAGATAAAATGATCTGATGCACCTGATAAGAAACTATTAATTACTAACTGCTTATTGCTCCAACCACATACATTAAGATTAGTAAAATCTAATAAATAATAGGATCCAAATTCTTGGCAAAATCATTAACAGGATTTTTTATGCACAAATAACGAATGGATGTTAATTCCTTGATTTTATCAATTTTCCTTACAAAATAAACCAACTGAATTATATCAGTGCTACCACCTTCCAGTGTCATTCAATTATCATTTACCATGCATCATATCTAAATAACCACCGTACATATCCCACATCTATTCATGTGATTGTAAGGGTGGGGGAGCGGAAATCAAATACTTGATTTGAAAGGCAGAGATCTCCTAATAATAAAATGGAAGGCCTGGAATCTGCCAGCAAATTAAAGATACAAACAATATTATGCTTGTTTAGTCATAGATTTTGCATATCAAAGACATAATTCTCAGACAAAATAGATAATGTAGTGCAATTTCACAGAATAACAATATAGTCCATGTACTTACAAATGGATCATATGAACTCCGCGATCATCAAAATTTCTTATGTACCACCGAGGAGACATGTTCTGCAAAAGCAAAACTAGAAGAATGAGAATTTCAATTAACTTCAGGCAGTAAAAACATCCAAGTACCCAAGAAATTCTAGAAGCACTTGTCTGTGTCTACACCAATGTATGTTTTCAGTCTTCACATTACAAATTCAAAAGTAAAATAAAATTGCATGGGACAAAAGATGATATAACATGAAAATATCTCCACTATGGCATGTCCCAATCTTCATTCAAATAAAAGTATGAATACTCTAACCAATCATCAATGTACCATATAAAAAAGTGCCACATTAGAATATAAGGGAAAGGAATTACATGTATACTACTCACCCGGTGAATGCATATATTACTGTGTGTTACAAGAGAAGCTGCCTGCAATTCCATATGTCCAGCCCATGTACCATCATTTTCCATAGACTGGCAATATTCATCAAATGGGACCTCATCTTCAATAAAGGGCTCAAACATCTCCCGGTTGTCCTGTTAGTTACAGCTTCAAGACCACATTATGTGAAGGAGTTTCCCAAAAAAAAAAAGAGAGAGAAACTAATGTACGAAAAGTTATCAGTAGTAATAGAGACTTGTCATGTACAACAACATAGTAAGATGTCATGCAGTTGGCAAATATTCATGAAAGTTAACAGCCGTAATCAATGGTTATGTGTGATTACAAAAACTATCACTGACAAAAAATATGCAATATGAAGGCAATCAGAAATCCTTATGATTATGATTGAGTATGGCTTTTATTTTATGTTTTGCCAACTTTCCTTATATTTGCTAGGTTAACTGAGAGGTGATTAACTAGATAAGGGTTCTCAACTTCTGATTCAATAATTTTTCAATTTCCCTAATCAATTTTCTTCTTCCCACAATTTTACATTAACAATACTGCAGAATAACTAAGTATTTCAACCCCTATCTTTTTCTTCTAATTTTCTAATGAAGGGAAAAGGAGGGAATGGGGGACAGTGATTTCATGACATCAAATAATTTTTGCTATGAATTTCAAAATCCACACGTACATAAACTTGAAACTCAAAATGTAATTTAGTTAAAATGTTGTACTAAGAGAACAGAATAAAATTGTTTCCCAGCACATCATACCAATATGTGTTTCACCACCATGCTGCGGTACTTTTGATGTTCCTCCTCATTGCCTTCCAACTGATCAGCAAGGGCTCTGCATAAGAATAGAAGAGTGAATGTTAAAACTAATATATGATGCTTTACACATGATTCACTTGCAGACTGTAAACACCAAGTGCCACTGAAACTTACCTACTAAGAAAGGAAAAGGGAAGGGGGTTAAGGATCTAAAATAATAACTGATAATGCCAAGATTTTGGGGACCTCGTTTCAGTACAAGGAAAGCAAAGTTGGCATTTTGTGTGCAAGTGAAAATACCTGGTATGCATATGTAACAGTGCATAACCACTAACTGAAGAATACCAGTACCCAACTATACATGATATAAATAATAGTAAATCCAAATGGATGTGAAGCATTAATGCTAACCTGAAGAAACAATTACCATCTGCTGTCACGTCAACAATGCGTAGGCCTAGAGCATCCAACTGAGTCCGAAATTGAGAACTGTCAGCCAGTTTTCCCAGCTTCTTAATCTGTCACCAAGAAATGATGGATCACCAATGGCTAAAGTATCCAAATAACACCTATTCCTAGAAGCACTAAAACTTACTGTTGGATTTGTTACCTGATATATTGATGTAGGAGGTATTATCATTTTTAATTATCAGAGGCAGTTAAATTAACAGTAAATAAAATACGAGCTATTGTACCATCAACTTTTGCCTTTAAAAGTTTTTAATACCAGCCCAATGAAAAATAAAAATAAAAAATCAAAATACAGGAAACCAAGTTAACAGGGGAAAAAGAACATCAAGACCCTATGCTTAACCTTAATAAGTCATAAACTACGAAAAGATTTGACATACACGAACAAAGACATACTTGGACACAAGATCAACGGCCACATTAAACACCCCTAATATAGATGTCATAATGTCTAACTCCCAGTGTAAACTGTAAAACATTCATCACACATACTTCTCGAAGCACAAGCTTCACAATATTGTTACTAGCAACAGTGCAACACACAGATGTCCCCTATGAAATAAACCAAGAAAATGGCAAACCACAGTAACCTCACTCAAAATAAATAAATAAATAATAACAATAATGATAAATTTGATTGATTATAGTATCCCGTTGGATCATTACCCACAGCAAAATAAGTGAAGCGTTGACAAGAAAGAGAGACATTTGGGAATACAAATGCAAGATTGTTATGCATAAATTATAGAACTACGGAAAAGTGAATGTAGACATATAATAAAAAACAAAAGTAAAATTGCAGAAGCTGAAAGCTACTTGTGGGTGTTGTTGCTGCTTCTTCTGGGGTAGCTTCTTCTGTTGCTTCGGCTTAACCATATCCTCGTCCCAAATCAAAAAACCAGAGAATTCTTATGAACTTTGATGTCGGTCCGATAAGAAAAGCCAGGGCAGATAGAATTAAAACCAGAGGCAACTCCACGGATCAACCTGACTCATGAGTTACGAGCCATGGGCTCATGAACATGCCCAAATAAATTGACTGGGCCCAAAATCTAGCCCGTTTGAAAGAATTTATTTTCTGGAAAAATATAGGTAACGAAATACACCCCAAAACTGATCGGAAAAAGCACTACCACTCGCGCACAAATAAAGTACACAAGAAAAATAATATAACTTTCAGACCAAAAAATAAAAAACCCTCAGCCACTATATTTGCAGTATACTTTAGGTGGAAAGAGAAAAGGAGCAACTTATGACATTTTGATGATATTTTTAAATTTTTTTTACCACCATTTTAAATTGTATTTAATAAAATCTTAATAAATAACTAAACATCAATTTGTTTTTTTAGGATTTAAAAATGATATATGACTATAGATAGAAATAGACCACATTCTCGTCGAAAGCGTATGACTTCACCCATTTAAGACACTTTTATAAAGTCTAATTAATTTAAAATATCCAAATTTATTCATTAGAAAACTTTTATTTTAATAAGTTGACTTTATTTAATTAAATAACAATAGTAATGTATTTTTTTATAAAATTATTAAAATATCTTATTATAAAATAAGTTTTTAGACCTTAAAAATTTATATTAAATAAATAAGTTTAATATAAATTTTAAATTAAAAAATCAAGTTATAGTCGTATAAAATCTAACTTAAAATAACTTATTTATACCTTTACATATAACATAAAATTATAAAAATATATAATTTAGGCTTCCTAGTAAAGAGAGTTATAATTTTTTTTATTTTATTATGGGTGCCAAATTAGAATGAATATTTTTTTTGAAAAAGTTAGGCGATTTATTAAAAATCTATATCTTGACTTGCAGTATATTTAATTTAACCTAAGTCTATGTATAAAATAAGATAGGACAATAATTATTTATAAATCTATTTAATTAAATATTGTTATATTTTAGGACTTCCTAAAAGAGTTCTATAAATAGGATGTTGATGTTTTAACAGTGTTGTTTGATGTGGGTGTCAAATTGTGCATAGGTAAAAAGATCATAGGATAACAATTTAAAAATTCAAAATATTTAAACTTAAATTCAACTTTCAACACATTTTTCTCCTAAAGCTAAGGAGTAAAGTAGAAAGATGTTGTTTCATGAAAAGTAAAATCCATAGATGTATGGACACAATGACTATGGGAATGATAATACTTGTAACTCTTTTTAACCAATGAAGACATACTTAAGAGCTTTAGGATCTAATTTTTCATGATGCTACCAATGGACATGAACAAAGACAGTACATCCAAAAAATTCAACACTCTAGACTATTTATAAAAAGAACAAAAAGGAAGAACCTGAGTAGTTAATGGCCCATCAAAAACACAAGTAAGTAATATATTTATCAAATTGTTAACACTACTTCTCCCTAATAAAAATGAGGAACAAACATATAGAAAACAACAACTTTGGCAACTTTAAGCATATAACAAAATTTTCTCTTACCAACCACATTTTTCTATATGGTGTCAATATATATTAGCTCATAAAAAAACACCATTCTTTTTTAAAAACTTAGAAAAGGATTGGTTCACACATTATTTTCCATTATCAAAACATAGTCATTGTCATTTTTCTAAACTGGGTTCGAACCATTTGAAAAAATTTTAAAAAAGTTGTACAATTTTAATTTTATCATTCATCAAATATATCTATGTTATTCAAAAGCAATCATCAATAAAAGAAAAAAACTATTTTGCACCAAAAATATTAGAGATAAAAATATGTCCCCACACATCAGAATAAACAAGGTTAAATGGCTCAACACTTTTATTATTTCTAAGAAAGGTTGCACGATAATATTTTGCAAATTGACAAATATCACAATGATTAGATTCAATGGACTCTTTTAAAAATAAATAGGGTAACATAGACCTAAGAATACTAAATGGGGGATGACCTAAACGTTTGTGTTGAAGCTAAATTTGAAATGTTATATAATTTAAACTCATTTGAAGGCAAGATTGTGGCACTATTTGTCTTCCATTCTCCTTTATTCACATGCTTTGTAGAAAATATAACCCTTCATGTTTCATAACAGTTTCAATCATTTTCCCATGGTAAGATCCTAAAAGACACAATAGAAAGGGAAAATAGTTACTATTAGGTAAGTTTTTGGATAGAAATTAGATTATTAGATAGTTTAGAAACATGTAACACATTATAAAGAGGTAAATAAGGATTAAGGGAATAGTACCACTCCTGACAACTAAGGTATGGGACCTATTAGTAACAATAATATATTAGTTGATAGATGAGTTAGAGTTGGTGAAGAAATAAGAAGAATGAGGTGTCATATAGTCAATAGTACCAAAGTCAACTATCTAGAAATCCTTAGGCATAGTACAAAAAATATTAAAAAAAATGATCCTAAAATTTTTAGCAGTCATTGCAAAAGACCAAGTACTAGATAACTTACTGAGAGACTTCATGAGGTTTTTCAAGTGTTCCACCTTAACTATTAATGTTAGTATCTCCTCCTCATTAGGTTGAGTTAATTGTTCTTTTTTTGCATTCTTCACATCATATATTGCTTGATTAGCTTATCTTTGTGCTTAGCTTTTAAATTTGCCTAAGTGATTGAGCACATTCTTCTTCTCTTGAATTTTGAAACAAGTATCCATGGTGTGATCACTCCTTTTGCAATAAGAGCATTAATGATTATTCCTTTTATAGGCAATTTTTTGGATCCTAAAATGTTTCCAGTTTTGAAAATCTTGCCAGATGTTAAGGTAGAGTTTTTAGCAAGTTTCTCATTTATTATAACCATCCTCTTATTCTCTTTGCTTTAAACAATGAAGAATGCCTCATAAAGTGAAGGAAGTTTTTCCTTCTCGAGAATCTGAGCTCGAATAAGATCATATTCAAGATTAAGTATGAATAAAAACTTGAAAATTCTTGACCTCTAAGTAGATTATAATATGGTAACAACATCATTATTGTTCTTCAATTTCAGGTTTTGGTGTTGAACTAGTTCTACCCATAAACCATTTATATGCTTATAGTAATTAGTTACTAAGAAAGAATCTTGTTTGGCACTAAAGATTCTACTTTCAAACTTATAATAAGTGGAGATGTCATGCTTAGACATGTAACCAAAGAGCACTAGACCAATAGACCAAGTTACACAGCTAAAAGGAAAATGTTCAACTCGAACCAGATTAGCTTACTTCACTTTCAAGTATCCACTAGATTAGAGATAGACGAAGGTTGTCCCATTTCTCCCGAGTAGTGAAGAACAAGTAATTCTGGCTATCATAATGAAAGATTCATCATAATTCAATATCTCATATTGTGGGCCCTTCGCAGTAGGAGCATCCTCTTCAATATCAATCAACCTCTTTCGACCCTTTAACATCTTTTGAATAAATTATGCTTATATGAGATACTTCCAACCATTGACTAAGTTAGTAGAAGGTAATGTTGAAAGATCATTAGAGGTCAACAACATCAAATTAGCAGGTTTAGGTTGTTGAGTGACCTTTAGAGATCATATTTCAACCATTATGACATAGCAATGTACAAAAAAAAATAACAAAAAATAAAAAAAGCACACAAGTTTTGCAGGATACAACCGTAACAATGGCAGTTGTGGCAAAAGAAATAAGCAAAATAGGAAGAGTAAGAGCTGACAAGTCTTCTGGTGTCAACAATGTCGATCTTTGATACTAACAAGATGGCACGTAACTTATACGCGTGTGAAAAATTGCACCACAGTTCTACCGCAAGATACATCATCTAGTATCAGGTCTTTGGGAATAGGCTTACTTATGGATGTCAATTTACTTGGTGTGGTTCTTGACATGATCGAATATCTCCAATGAAGAATAGTTATGAGATTTGACCAAGCACGATAAAGTTGTAATGAAGACAACTAGTACAAACATTGATGCTACAATGAAGGTGGATAAAATTTTAGAATATGGAAGCAAAGCCCCCACGATCGGGAACTCTAATACCAACTTGAACAAAGTACTAAACAATATATTTGAATGTATTTTTTTTTATGATTTTTAAAACGTACAGTAGTGCATATTTATATAACTATGATAAGTACTTTTATGCTAAAATCATTGGTGTGATTCATACTCAATTATGATAATTACATAAATAAGGAATAAATTAAATACCAAAAGAAACAAAAGAAAGAGAAATTAGAGGAAAATATGAATATTTTACAACACTTTATTTGATGGTCCTTATTTAGTTTTATATCATTATTTGTTTGTCCAATGTTAGTGACCTTTCTTTAAGACTAGAGACCACTCTTTTAGGAAAGTTGTTGTGTGGGTCAGGATTTCTAATTTTATAGCAACTTTGTTCTACATTAGGTACCATACTTAATATAAATTTTCATATTGCAAATGCAATTTAATCTACGTGAAGTTTGTAAGGATTTGTATTGAGATTGACCTTAAGAGGAAACTAATACCATATTTTAAAGTTTTAGGTTATAGGTTCAATATTTAACATGAAGGATTACAGTTAATATATTTTTATATGAAAAATATGGCCTTAGACAATAAATTCTTTCATTCATGGATGGTCACTTAGGGTATAATCTTCTTTTCATCTCCAAAGAGGATGAGGCAAAAACGGCGTTCCGTTGTCCGGGTGCTGTTGGACGGACTATTTTACTGGCAGGTGATGCCCTTCGGTCTGAATAACGCTATAGTTACCTACCAGCGAGCAATGAACCTCATCTTCCATTACTTTATTGTCAACATCGTAGAGGTGGTGTATATTGACGATGTAGTTGTGAAGTCTTTCCCTTCGGGTTATTTGTCTGATCTCAAGACAGTGTTTGAGCGCGAGAACACGGCTTGAAGATGAACCCGTAAAAATGTTGGCGTAACAGCAGGAAACTTCCTAAAGTTCTTAGTGCACAACAGAGGGGTTGAAATTGACAAGAAGAAATCGGG